GTTATTTTATATTGTAATAATATTTCACATATGCCTGTAGATCAGGACTCAGGCTGGAGTAAATGCAACTGTGCATGTGTATAAATGCATTTATGGCGTCCCATCATATGATTAATGCGAATGGTGAGTGGAAAAACACCGTCTATGAGAAGTGCACATGTGAGTGTGTGTTCGCACGCTTGCTCTCGCACCTTCACCAGCTCGAAGGGGAAGCGCTCGTGGAAGATGCGATTGATTCTGGCTCCTCCAGACAGCTCGTACGTGTCTATCTGATCTCCAGAGCCCTCGATACGCTTCTCGAAATCCACAGAGAACTGCTGCACCATCCTGAAACCAAGCAATGCATACACTACATCTGCAGTTCTGAGGATACGAGCTTCATTTGTTCATGCAGAGACGGTGAATGTGATTGACTGACTGCAGCAGGGCTTTGGTCTTCCGGGACGGATCGTCTGGTCGGAAGTTCTTGTATTCCTCCACTTCCTTCTCGATGGACAGCAGCTGGCTCTGCAGTTTAGTGCGCAGCGCAGGGAGCGTGTCACGGATGTGATTGGTCAGTTGCTGCAGAAGAGATGAAAGATGAAGACCATCAGAGGTTGAGGATTCATTTCTACACTAACAATCGTAGCGCTGTTAAAGGTAACTATGCAAAGTAAAAGCAACATATGCACAATGTATATAGTGCTAACAAAATGTATTAATGTTACACCATTTTTTTTTTGTAATACAATGTATAGTGTAAAAAAAAACATGCAATTCTTTCAAGTACCTTTTAAATGCATAAATATTCAGAATTAAAATCAAAATGATAAAAACAGGCTACATGGCTCGTTTCATAATTTAGGGTACATAATTTTTTCTATATGATTTCTACATTTCTATATCATATTGATATCAAATATCATATCATATGTAGTTCAAAATAATGAATAAAAAATGTTAAAGTCAAGATTATCTATATTACATTAATTTCTACAATCTAAATACCTTAGAAAAACAGTTTTAATTAATTGAATTTTTTCAAATAAAACATTTAATTGTACTTATGTCCACAAAAATTCTGTCACTAACCAAACTAAAAAACAACAAAAAAAAAAAACTTTATTTTTATATAGCTTCATTAGCTTCTCCAAATGATTTGCATTGTAAAATCAAAATACAAATAATGTACAAAATATATAAAGTATACAAAAAGTATTAGTTTCATACCATACTTTATAATAAAGCCATGTCTTCAAATCACCGTTTTATTTTAACTGCATGAATATTGTAATCATTACACTGTATGACCATCAGATAGCATCACTGTACCATAGTAAATCCACAATACCTTTTAGTAAGATGCATGTTTTATTAATATTTGGAACAAATATTACGCTCTGAAATGACATGCGTATTATACGAGCAGAACCGAACTAAACCGCTAGTTTAGACGGAGTTACCGTCGTGTTTGTCGACGATTGTTTACTAACATTCTAAATCGTGTTCTTTTTAATAGCGAATCTGTTTTACTTTATAAGTAGCGCAACAAATTCATATTTTTCTTTACGATACGATATTATCACGATAAAATTACTGTTAAATTTTAATTAAATTAAATAAAACATGTAGTCTTACACCGAAATGAAAATTCTGGGCCGAAAGGGAAACAGAAAAAACTTTGTAATGATTATGTATTATTTTATTAAATAATATAAAGTAATTCTGTAAGACTTTTTAAATTCACCTCAATTTTAATGATACTGAATTAAAAAAAAACACAAGCCAATAAAATAACCACACTTTTACTGAAAGTAACACAAGAAAACGACAGAATTTATATTAATATTGGTAACACTTTATCGGTAATACATAGACTTTATTTCTCATAACATTAAAAGATCGTGTAACATTATTTGTGTATGTAACCTAATTAATATTCATGAGTTTGGCTTTTCATCACTCCGCCCCCACCGCTTTATCTAGTTCATCCACTGAAATACAGCTGTTATTCCCAAACCTTTGCAGTGTGTATGTCGCCAGAACAAACCAAACAGAGAGTTTAGATTGATGTTTACACATTTCAGTCTCTACAGTCTCACCTGGTTGAGGGTTTTCTGCAGGAACGGCGTTCCCATGCGGTCGGCCAGGTGTCTGTAACCGGGATGAGACAGGAAAAACTTCCTCTCCGCCGCCATAGCAGCGTTAATATCCTTCTTCCCATCGATGTCTTTCTGACTGCGGTTCACCACACCAATGTAACCTGCAGTCAAACAAACACATCAGCATTGGAGAAAGTGAGAGCACGAGAATACAGAGCTATAAAATGAATGTGGATCTTTTGGTGAGAAATGTTTGAGTTTATGCTGATGATCTGTGATTGCAGGCTTTTTTATTTCTGCAAATGTGAGTTAAATAATCATTTGTTTCTGTGTGTTACATGACATGATTTTTTTTGTTTTGGGAGAGAGTGAGTGAGTGAGTGAGTAGTGAGTGAGTGAGTGAGTGAGAGTGTGAGAGTGAGTGTGTGTGTGTGTGTGTGTGAGAGAGTGAGTGAGTGAGTGAGTGAGTGAGTGAGTGAGTGAAAAAAGAAACATGTCTGGATTAAGAGGTTAAACTCTCAAATCTCTCGTTCCTCATGCATCTGAAAGCCAGGATTTTTCTAAAGCATGTTTGTGGTTTTGATGTCGACCGTATTACATGAGCAGACCACGGCGAGGGAAGGTGAAGACGCATTTGATGGGAAAACCTGAAGTGTGGACGTGAGCTGTGAGTGGAAAACTGGTACGTCAGCACACTGCAGCCCAGACTTTCCCATAAATATCCTTTATTGCTGAGCAAAGAAAGAAAACAGCGTTTTTTCCAGATGTGTCAATGAAATGAAGACATTGTGTTTTTCCCCCTGATTCTCTCTTTCCGCTCACAGGCTGCAGCGGTGAGAAACACAGACGTTACTCCACTAGAGGTGATGTTTGATCGCTCCAGCATTACCTGCTTTACTATAGTAAGTATACTTTACACCAAAATACCATAGCTACTAGTAGTTATAGTTTCTATATTTTCCTAAAACGCACAGAAAAATAGTGAAAAAAATGTTTAAAAAAAAAGATATATATATTTTTGTTTTACATTTTCTTTTTTAAAAAACAAGTGAGTTTGATATTTTAAATAAATTTTTGTTTAATTATTTTTAAAAATTAAATGCAATATATTTTAATAAAATATAGTTGGATATAATGCAGTATTTATTTTTTTCCCACTGCCCTCAATCAAGTTAGATTTTTGGGCCTTCTTATTAGAAAGTTATTTGCAAGTTGATGAAAAGTTAATAATTAAATAAAAAATATGGAAAATTTACAATAAATAATAAAAAGAAAAAAATCAAAATAAAACACTTGCTAAAAAATGAATTATTTGTTCATATAGAAGTTCAATAGTATCATGTTACTATTATCCGACATTTGAGAATCGTGAACATGCAAATGTGTTAAATTATTGAAATATTAATATAATTTTTTTTAGGACATCTAATCAGAAGCTTTTTTTATTTAAATTGAAATAAATAAAAAATATGCTTATAAATTAAATATAATGACAAAATATAATAATAATAATAATATTATATTTAATAATATTATAATAAAAATAATATTTATAATAATAATAAATTTCATAGCAATGAACTAATGATATTGCTAAATAAAATTATTCTGATGAATGGGGAAAATATGTGTCTGGCCCAGTTTTTCAGCATAAAATAAAGCAATCTAAACTGTTGTAAAGTGCGTGTGAGTTGAGCAAATGGGATCGGGACACATTTCAGGGCATGAAGAGCATGTATTACAGCTGTATTATTTGTTAGCATGTTAAAGATGTTGACATCAGATGACCTCCTCACCTCTGCGCAGCGGCAGCAGCTTGTTCTCCAGGATTTCCCGAGCGTCAGTCCCTTCATCCATCAGATCGAGTTTAGTGATCACACCGATCGTCCGCAGACCTGCTCGCACACGCAAACACAGACGCATAAGAGCACAAGCACGATCTGATCTGCAGCACACTGTAAACTGAAGTTAAAGCTTTGTTTGTTTTTGCTAATCTACTGTTTCTGCAGGTCTTTAAATGTCTTACACAAATTAAGGCCTTAAAAAGATCTTAAATCAATGCATAAATGTTGCACACACTGCAAAAATACATATCTTCCACAGTATTTCTGTCTTGTTTTGCAGTACAAACATCTAAACATCCTTAAATCAAGACACATTTACTGGAGATGCAAAATGAAGATAAGAAGTCTGTTTTTTGAGAAATTAAAGTTTATGCTTAAAACAAGAACAAATGGGGAATGAAAACTTGATTTTTCTGACTCCATCAGCAGATATTTGTTCTTGTTTTAATCATAAACTGACCTCATTTTGATCAATTTCTCAGAAAACAAGACTTCTTATTTTTGTCATTCTGCTTCTCAAGTAAATGCATGAATTTAAGAATCTTCAGACATTTGCACTGGACAACAAGACAAGAATACTGAGGAAGACCATCAGAAGGTACAGTAGAAGTTATTTATAAGCGGTATTTTCAAACTTTACATTTAAAGACCATATTGACATATTGTTTTGATTTTCTTCACTCGGTCTTAAAAAGTCTTGAATTTAAGTGAAGCCTGCAGAAACCTTCATACTACGGAAGAGGATTAGGGCCAATCAATGATAAAAAAATCAAACCATCTCGAGATTGAAGTCATTATAATGCAAGATTAAACTCGTTAAATTTCAAGAAAAAAGTCTAAATTAAATGTTGAGAATAAACTCATTAAATCCGAGAAGAAAGTGGCGCAGGTCGTAGAGAGCGATGCTCGTGGATGAAGCATATGATGCGGTCGACCAGAGTTCAAATCCGTCTTTTGCAGATCTCACTCTTCTTCCTTTTTTCATCACATAACACATCGGAAAAGTGGAAATTAATTACTCTCTACGACCTGCGCCACTGCAGACGCTGATTAACACTGTCCAACGAGATGACACCAGTGTGTTTATTCTCAACATTTTATTTCCACTTTATTCTCGGAATATAATGAGTTTATTCTCAATAATTTATTTAGACTTTTTTTCTTGAAATTTAACGCGTTTTTTTCTCTAAACATGACTTTTTTCTCGTAATTTAATGAGTTTATTCAACATTTTATTTAGACTTTTTTTCTTGAAATTTAACGCGTTTTTCTCGTAGTTTAATGAGTTTATTCTCAACATTTAATTTAGACTTTTTTCTTGAAATTTAACGCGTTTTTCTCGTAGTTTAATGAGTTTATTCTCAACATTTAATTTAGACTTTTTTCTTGAAATTTAACGCGTTTTTCTCGTAGTTTAATGAGTTTATTCTCAACATTTAATTTCAACTTTTTATTTTGAAATTTAATGAGTTTATTTCGACATTTTATTTCGACTTTTTTTCTTGAAATTTAATGCGTTTTTTCTCTAAACACGACTTTTTTCTCGTAATTTAATGAGTTTATTCAACATTTTATTTCGACTTTTTTTCTTGAAATTTAACGAGTTTTTTCTCTAAACACGAGTTTTTTCTCGTAATTTAATGAGTTTATTCAACATTTTATTTTGACTTTTTTTCTTGAAATTTAATGCGGTTTTTCTCTAAACACGACTTTTTTCTCGTAATTTAATGAGTTTATTCTCAACATTTAATTTTGACTTTTTATCTGAAATGTAACGAGTTTTTTCTCAAAACACGAGTTTTTCTCGTAATTTAATGAGTTTATTCTCAACATTTAATTTCAACTTTTTATTTCGAAATTTAATGAGTTTATTTCGACATTTTATTTCGACTTTTTTTCTTGAAATTTAATGCGGTTTTTCTCTAAACACGACTTTTTTCTCGTAATTTAATGAGTTTATTCAACATTTTATTTAGACTTTTTTTCTTGAAATTTAACGCGTTTTTTTCTCTAAACATGACTTTTTTCTCGTAATTTAATGAGTTTATTCAACATTTTATTTCGACTTTTTTTCTTGAAATTGAACGCGTTTTTTCTCTAAACACGAGTTTTTTCTCGTAATTTAATGAGTTTATTCAACATTTTATTTCGACTTTTTTTCTTGAAATTGAATGCGTTTTTTCTCTAAACACGACTTTTTTCTCGTAATTTAATGAGTTTATTCAACATTTTATTTCGACTTTTTTTCTTGAAATTTAATGCGTTTTTTCTCTAAACACGACTTTTTTCTCGTAATTTAATGAGTTTATTCAACATTTTATTT